CCGTCCCTGTCTCTGTCCTCATCCCCGTCCCTGTCCCTGTCCTCATCCCCCTCCCCATCCCTGTCATCATCCCCGTCCCTGTCCTCATCCCTGTCCCTGTCCTCATCCCTGTCCTCGTCCCATCCCCGTCCCTGTCCTCATCCCCGTCCCTGTCCTCATCCCTGTCCCTGTCTCTGTCCTCATCCCCGTCCCTGTCCTCATCCCCGTCCCTGTCTCTGTCCTCATCCCTGTCCTCATCCCCCTCCCCATCCCTGTCATCATCCCCGTCCCTGTCCTCATCCCTGTCCCTGTCCTCATCCCTGTCCTCGTCCCCATCCCATCCCGTCCCTGTCCTCATCCCGTCCCTGTCCTCATCCCTTCCCGTTCTCATCCCTTCCCTGTCCCTGTCCTCATCCTCGTCCCTGTCCTCATCCCTGTCCTCGTCCTCGTCCCTGTCCCTGTCCTCATCCTCATCCCTGTCCTCATCCCCATCCCATCCCATCCCCCCCCCTGTCCGTCCCTATCCCTGTCCCCTGTCTCCTCCCCGCCCCCCGTCCCTTGCTGTCCTGCACCCTCACTGCCTCCAGGCCCAACCCGGCCTGAGTTCATCATTACGTTGTAAATCTAGATCGTTGTGGATTTGTTAGACCTCCGAGTTCTTCTGGGTTTCATCCAGCTGAATATCATCGAACATCTGCATCGGACAACAACAACCCTTTAATTTAAAAGATCGCCAAGAGGAATCAATTAGGCTCTACGCCATGTCCACACTGAGTACCACGTGAGCAACCAAAGCCCACCTCGCCCCCCGTCCCAGAGTCCAGAGAGACCCCCCCCCCTCTGCTGCGGGCTGAAAGAATCCACTGGAGCTGTTCAGTGTTTTTACATACCAACTTATGTTCAGAGGTATCAAAATGTTCTCAGCTGGTCTAGTCTAAGGACCCACCACCAACTCCTTCATGAAAATCCTGACCCAAATTTCTGATAGTTTTTCAACCAATCAGATTAAAGAGAGCAGTTTGGACCTCCGATGTGACGAAACATGTGACGGAGCAAAAGAACAAACTAACATGGAGCGCTTCATGGAGTTCACATGATCGCCCCACTGAAAATGGCTCCACGACCCACTTTGGGTCCCGAACCACCAGTTGAGAACCACTGATCTTAAGTACCGCCTGTGTCGTCTCCAAATCTGAACACGCTTTACACGCCGACTGCCTGAACATGTTTCGTACGTGGAGCGGATACTCGTTTTATAAACTTTGTGTTTAATGACTAAAGGAGAGATTTCTGTTTTACTTGAAGAGTGACGTTTACACACACACACACAGAAACACACACAGAAATACACACACACACACAGAAACACACACACACACACACACACACACACACACAGAACACACACAGAAATACACACACACACACACACACACACACACACACAGAAACACAGAAAGACACACACACACACACAGACACACACACACACACACACACACACACACAGAAACACACACACACACACACACACACACACAGAAACACACACACACACACACACACACACACAGAAACACACACAGACACACACACACACACAGAAACACAGAAACACACACACACAGAAACATACACACACAGAAATACACACACACACACACACACACACAGACACAGAAACACACACAGAAATACACACACACACACAGAAACACACAGACACACACACACACACAGAAACACAGAAAGACACACACACACACACACACACACAGAAACACACAGAAACACACACACACACAGAAACACACACACAGAAACATACACACACACACACAGAAACACACACACACACACATACACACACACACACAGAAACATACACACACACACAGAAACACACACACACACACACACACACAAACATACACACACACACAGAAACATACACACACACAGAAACACACACACACACACACAGAAACACACACACACACACAGAAACACACACACACACACACACACACAGAAACACACACACACACACACACACACACAGAAACACACACACACACACATACACACACACCACGTCACCACGTTTTAATTCTGTTCTCACCAAACGATCATCTCATGAAAGCAGCGTTCACAGACGGCGTGTTTTTTCTTGTGTAAAGACGATGAACAGACACGTGTACAGTTTTTAATATTTATGACCGCGGTGTCGTTTAGAGAAACATTTAATCACTATTTATCCACGTGAGCTGAGAGATCAAACGTTTTCTGTGTGACGAGTCAGTTTGAAACCGGCTCTCAGTGGGATCATGTGGGGGGTGAATGGAGTCTGGTACGGGGGGGCTGGTTTGTGTCGATACCTGAGTTTAAAACAAACAGTATCCATACCTGTGTCGTTACCATGGCAACGGAGAAAGAAGTCGCACATACCCGACATCGGATCACCTCTTTGTTTTCAAATTAGGAAAAACAAACTCCTGCACGCTGACTTCATCGCACAAAAACAAAACGTTGCCAATATGGGAGCAATGACGTTATAAAGCGAGTTCATCTGAGCGTCTGAATCAACAATATGTAGGAATCTGATTTGGAGCACTTTGGCGCCCCCCGCAGGTCTCTAAGTGAAACTGCAAAGTCGTAAATCCGTCGTAAATCCGAGAAACTGCAGTTTCTCTCTTATAGCTCCATCCCTCGGCGCCGTCTTCCTCGTAGCCTCGCCCGTTGTTTCAAACAGAATCAAGGCGAGCTAACTATGTATGGAAGTAAAGCAGCGCCCGCCGCCCGCCATCACACTCACATCGTGCTATCAGCAGGAGACCGGGGGGCGCTCTGCGGACATGAGAGGGACGCCATCTTGCCTGTTGAAAGTTTTTCTATTAGATCGACTTTGAAACGACCATTTAGAGGTGGCAAGTGTTCTAACTGAACATCCCGATGTGTTGAAGACGAGACCAGATCAAGTTCTAATTTGGACTCGAACCGGCGACCTTCCAGTCCAGTTCAGAAAGGTTCAGAGGTACCAGACTCCGTCCACGTTTGTCTCGTTTTTTCACCCTCAGAGCAATAGACTCCGTGTGTTAGCCAATCCCGTAGTCTCACTCTTAACGCCTGGATTGTGAGCCTATCAGAGACCAGTCTGGTATAGAGACCGCCTCCGCACACAAACACTAGCCAGTAGAGACGTCGGTCACTTTTATATTTTGTCGTCTTCAGTGGCCAAAACGCAGCGCTGACCCTTCAAACGGAGAAACGGTGGTCGGTGGGTCGGGTCCGCCTGTGAATGATTTGTTGTTCTTTAAATGTGTACAGTGAAACTATTACAGAGATTATAGACACTAACCTGACTGTACATACGGTGAATACAGGTGTTTTCTTTTTTCATTGTTGTTTCTTTTTATTTTTCAAAATGAGAGCGTGAGATTTATCAGTAACAACAATAAAGAAATATGTTGGATATCACCGTGCTGTCATGTTTTATTCTCAGGTAAACATGGATCTGTTTTCTTCTTCAGATGATCGAACACGCTGAGCAGCTGGACTCGACCTTTATTTACAACATTTTGCATTGATATATCTGCTTATGGAAGCATCACACCAGGAAAAGCCTTATTTCACATTTAAAAAAAAAAATATTAGGCTTTTATTTTGAAGTTTTGTCCTGTCTTAAGCTGAGAGTACTTCACTTGCTGTGTGCTTTTATTTTGAAATAAAGTAAGGCCCTTCTGGTAGAGTGAAGGTTAGGACATGAAGTTAAGTGAAGTGGTTAGGGATCCCAAAGTCAAACAGCACAAATTAACTGTAACAAAGGTCAATGTGTGATGTCATACGGTCAGTGTGTGATGTCATAAGGTCAATGTGTGATGTCATAAGGTTGATATTACTGTCTGAGAGTTTGTTAAAGTGAAATGAGACATTCAAAGATGCAGCAGTGAGACTACAGGGAGACACTGAGGACCGCTATCTACGGAGAGCCTGAAGGGACAAAAAAGCACGAGATTAATCTCAATTTGAAAAATATAAAGCATTCATTTCAGACTTTAATTAATCATGATTAACTAGTTAATGCTGACAGCCCTATATTTTTTTTATAATTATATTTGCAGTGCTGTGTGCACCGGATTATCAGGGTAGAAAAGGAATGCTGGGAGAAAATGCTGACAGCCTATTTATATATATATATATATACACACACACATCATGTAAATTTAATATCCTATATTAAATAAAATTGACTCAGAAAGATGACAAATATATAGCTAAACAAATAAAGACTCTATTCAAAAGACCAAAACCCCAAATTGAGCTGTTTTTAATGTTTTCAGCAACATTTTGTGTAATGTTAACGTCCGGCCGCCAGGTGGCAGCTGCGCGTCGTTAATGAGTTGGCGCTGCCGTCACGGTCGCAGAAGAAGCCAGCTTCGCTACTGTAAACAAAGCTGAGCCGCTAATCTGACAAACACGTAAAAAACCGGCTAATGCGGTGTGAAGACATGACAACAGTCGAGTCTGTATAACAGTAAAGTAAGTAGTAACGGATATATTTATTTATTGAATCAACGCTGACGGTGAAATCAACTAGAAAACGACCTTTTAGAGAGTCGGCTAACTTAACTAGCAGAAGATGCTAAAGCTCGGCTGACGTCCAGATCAGAAAATCAGTTTTTCATGTCAAAGGTCAAAATGTTTCATACATACTTTTGCATGATTAAAAGGAAATGATGCTGTTACTTACTGTCCCGGTCCTACACAGCAGGCAGCATGCCTTTCAGGATGTAAGGATGTAAACATTAAAGTTTGAAGCCTGAGTGACGTCACCCGTCTGTCCCTGCAGGGGGCGCTGGAGTCCCATCGATGGCGGTCTCCATGCTGGAAATGCTGTCTCAGTCTAACTTTCAGTCAACCTAACGACAGGCTGAGAGCTGGAGCTGAGGCGGGTTTTAAACCTCCTGAAAAACCGTTACACCGCGCCCACCTGTCAATCAGGTCAGCTACACGCCTTATTGTGAATAACTCTTATCCTTCATCAAATCAAAACTGATGAGTCATCAAAACATTCACCCCCCCCCCCTGCAAGATTATTTTCTTAACAACGCCGTTGGATGACCCTGAGGAACGCCACGAGCCGAAACGCGTCGGTCTAAATTGCTATTGCTTCTTACTACACGTGTTGCTGGAGCATTTTGACCTCTTCTAAGTCTTTCACTCTTCATGCACCTTGTCAGTTGGTGAAGTTTGTGCCAGAAAATCCTCTTTTTTCTCCTGAACAACGCCGTTAAAATCAGTGACAGACACAAACACTCGATGGAACAGAGCGCCTGCAGCAAACTCCTGCACACCGTCTAAATTAGACAAAAACCTTGGTAACGTTTACCTTACTTTTTTGATAATCGTAAATAAGAAATGACCCAATACTGGGGGACTTGGACTCGTACTTTTGTTTCTGTGGTATCAAAACAGGGATTGGTATCATTTATTTTTTACTAGTGTCATATCACGTTCTGTTATGGTGATAAGCCTTTGTCTGAATGTGACCTGTACTTCTCCGCAGTGATCTCCAGACTCTGTCGGCCTTCATCAGTTCAGTCTGGCTCGGGACCTGCCATGACCCGGCCTGCGCTCTGACTGGTTGAGAATGGCTGCAGAGCTTTATCCCACAAAGAAGCTGGTCTCCTCCACCTCAGCGAGCAGCACCACCTCCTCCTCCATCCAGCAGTACCAGCAGCAGAACCTGACCAACAACAACACCAGCTTCGCTGCTCGGAGCTGCTGCAACTGGCAGGGCCTGTACCCCACCATCCGAGAGAGGTCAGTGTGAAAGCCGGCAGACGCAGCCTGCAGGGCGCCATGTACCTAAAGTGTGGATTAGTGGACTGTCTAAGTAAAAAATCAATCCACCCTCTTCAAACTATCCAAAACGCAGCAGCCCAGCTTTTAACAAGAACAAAGAAATGTGCCCATATCACGCCGAGCATCCCTTCACTGGCTCCCCGTTGATTTTAGAATTGATTTTACGATTCTTTTAATTACTTTGCTGTCAGAGCCCCCAGACTGTGGAACAGCCTGCCAGAGGAGATCAGACGTGCAGATTCAGTCCCTTGTTTTACTTCCCTACTCAAAACATTCTTTTATAAAAATGCTTTTACGCTGTGATTTCGGTAATTCTTCTTCTTTTTATTTTATTAGTCTGATTTTGTTGTCTGCTTGGTTACGCTCTGCCTGTTGCTTTAATTGTCTCTCTGCTTTTATTTCTGAAGCACTTTGTTACTTGTATAGAAAAGTGCTATACAAATAAAGTGTTATTATTAAATGATTTCTTCTTGGTTGTTTTGACACATTTTAACTTTTTAAGAATAATGTCCTTGCAGGAATTCAGTCATGTTCAACAATGAGACGATGGCAGATGTTCACTTTGTGGTCGGACCTCCGGGCGGGACGCAACGAGTCCCAGGACACAAGGTAGAAAAAAAACCTCATAATTCACTAAAAAGATAAAAGGCTGAAAACAGGAAGTTCCTCCTCTCAAAGATCAAAAATCTCTAAAACATTTCTGTTCTGAAAATGAAGTGCGACGGATACTGTGTTCAGTGTCTCTGCAGACCACAGCTGTCAGATCTGAAGGTTTTCTTGATCTTGTCCCTCATGGCGTCCATGTTTTTCCCCCTCCTCCAGTACGTCCTGGCCGTCGGCAGCTCCGTGTTCCACGCCATGTTTTATGGAGAACTGGCCGAGGATCAGGAGGAGATCCGGATCCCAGACGTGGAGCCTCCTTCGTTCCTGGCCATGATGAAGTGAGTCGCCGTCTGATTGATTCAGCTCTCATGCGTTGTTGTTTGTCTCAAGCTGACTCCGCCCTCTACCTGCTCAGGTACATTTACTGTGATGAGATCGACCTGTGTGCCGACACCGTGCTCGCCACTCTCTACGCCGCCAAGAAGTACATCGTGCCTCACCTGGCCCGAGCCTGCGTCAACTTCCTGGAGACGAGTCTGAGCGCCAAGAACGCGTGTGTGCTGCTGTCTCAGAGCTGCCTGTTCGAGGAGCCCGACCTGACGCAGCGCTGCTGGGAGGTGATCGACGCTCAGGCTGAGCTCGCTCTGCGCTCTGAGGGATTCTGCGACATCGACGCCCAGACGCTGGAGAGCATCCTGCGGCGGGAGACGCTCAACGCCAAAGAGATGGTGGTGTTCGAGGCGGCGCTGAGCTGGGCCGAGGCGGAGTGTCAACGACAGGACCTGACGCCAACCATCGAGAACAGGCGTCTGGTCCTGGGGAAGGCCATCTACCTGATCCGGATCCCCACCATGGTGCTGGAAGACTTCGCCAACGGAGCGGCGCAGTCCGGCGTGCTCACACTGAACGAGACCAACGACATCTTCCTGTGGTACACCGCCGCCAACAAACCCGACCTGCTGTTCTGCACCAAACAGCGCAAAGGCCTCTCGCCGCAGCGCTGTCACCGCTTCCAGTCCTGCGCCTACCGGAGCAACCAGTGGCGGTACAGAGGACGCTGCGACAGCATCCAGTTCGCCGTGGACAAGCGCGTCTTCATTGCCGGCTTCGGCCTCTACGGCTCCAGCTGCGGGTCGGCCGAGTACAGCGCCAAGATTGAGCTGAAGCGTCAGGGCGTGCCGATGGCGCAGAGGATGATCAAGTACTTCTCAGACGGATCCAGCAGCACCTTCCCCGTGTACTTCGACTACCCGGTGCAGATCGAGCCCGACACCTTCTACACGGCGAGCGTGGTGCTCGACGGAAATGAGCTCAGCTACTTTGGCCAGGAGGGCATGACAGAGGTGCAGTGTGGGAAAGTGACCTTTCAGTTCCAGTGCTCGTCAGACAGCACCAACGGCACCGGAGTGCAGGGGGGGCAGATCCCCGAACTGATCTTCTACGCTTGAGCCCGACGGGGAGGGGACGCCGCCGCAGAGATTCCTTCAACACTGCCATTTAGACTTTTATTTTGAAAGGGTGGAGACCGGTTCTCAGGAAGCTGTTTGAGAAACGAGAGACTCCTGAATTTACCACTGAGCCGTGATGACACTTTCAAACATGAAGACAAGAAGTAGAAGAAGAAGAGCTCACATTCCTTCACTCCTCTGTTGTTGTTGTTGTTGTTGTTGTGTTTCAGTTCCTCTTGGTTCTTATTAAAACGCTATTTCACCGTATTGGCCCGAATGCAAGACACAGTTTTCCCCTGACACATTTTAAAACGCTAATATACAGGAGACACCAGGGGGAGACAGCAGGAGGAGACACCAGGGGGGGACACCAGGAGGGAGACAAGAGGGGAGACACCAGGGGGGAGACACCAGGAGGAGACACCAGGGGGAGACAAGAGGGGAGACACCAGGGGGAGACACCGGGGGGAGACAAGAGGGAGACACCAGGGGGAGACACCAGGGGGAGACAAGAGGTGGGGACACTAGGGGGAGACACCAGGGGGAGACAAGAGGTGGGGACACCAGGGGGAGACACCAGGGGAGACAAGAGGTGGGGACACCAGGGGGAGACACCGGGGGGAGACAAGAGGTGGGGACACCAGGAGGAGACAAGAGGGGAGACACCAGGGGGAGACACCGGGGGGAGACAAGAGGGAGACACCAGGGGGAGACACCAGGGGGAGACAAGAGGTGGGGACACCAGGGGGAGACAAGAGGTGGGGACACTAGGGGGAGACACCAGGGGGAGACAAGAGGTGGGGACACTAGGGGGAGACACCGGGGGAGACAAGAGGTGGGGACACTAGGGGGAGACACCAGGGGGAGACAAGAGGTGGGGACACCAGGGGGAGACACCAGGAGGAGACAAGAGGGGGGACACCAGGGGGAGACACCAGGGGAGACAAGAGGGAGACACCAGGAGGAGACACCAGGGGAGACACCAGGAGGAGACACCAGGAGAGACAAGAGGGGGACACCAGGGGGAGACACCGGGGGAGACAAGAGGGAGACACCAGGGGGAGACACCAGGAGGAGACAAGAGGGGGACACCAGGGGAGACACCGGGGGAGACAAGAGGGAGACACCAGGGGAGACACCAGGGGGAGACAAGAGGTGGGGACACCAGGGGGAGACAAGAGGTGGGGACACTAGGGGGAGACACCAGGGGGAGACAAGAGGTGGGACACTAGGGGGAGACACCGGGGGAGACAAGAGGTGGGGACACTAGGGGGAGACACCAGGGGGAGACAAGAGGTGGGACACTAGGGGGAGACACCAGGGGAGACAAGAGGTGGGGACACCAGGGGGAGACACCAGGAGGAGACAAGAGGGGGACACCAGGAGGAGACGAGGGGGGACACACGCTGTTAGATGGACTTGAGCTTGTATAGCAGCCTGTTTAATCAGGGTCGTCTTATATTCTGGCCAAAGAGGTCATTTGTACAAAAACTAACATGTCTGAGGAGGAGGAGGGGTCACACTTGAACGCTGACAGACGACTTCATCCAGTCCTACCTCGCCTTGACATGTTAGTAGACTCAAATGTAGCCCATCGTTTATCTGTAAAGGTTAAACTCCCCCGAGAGAAAATGAGTCCTAAAGGGGGCGATGGTTCTGAACACCACACTGCGTTAAAGGAAGCATGTGCGACATGTGTCTCTGAGTCCTGACTGTCTACGATGAGGGAGAAGCTCGAGTCCCGCTGGCTGTGTTGTTGTCAGAGCCGTGTTTCCACCTCCTTCCTCAACAAGATGTTTGACAGCCAGCTGATTGGTCGCCCAACTTTGAGTAAGCACACATGAAAACAAACATCCATACGTGTTTCTGAAGAACTCCTGTTCTGTTGTTGTTGTTGTTGTTGTTGTTGTTTCTTCTTTCTGTTGAATCACTTAGAGCCCCAAGCCTGACGAGACGTCGCTCAGATATTATTTAAATCACTGAAGGTTGTTTAACTGCTCTTACTGAACGACTTCATGAAGCGCTGCAGTTGTCTTGTAATGCCGTACAGATGTTTACAGATGTTTACAGTTGTTTACAGATGTTTACAGATGTTGGTTTGTGGTATTTGAAGCTCCCGTCTCCTCCTGCTTCGTTTACTTTACTAAACCTGGGAGGCGGTTTCAGCCTGCAGCAGCTTAACGGGCTGTTGTGGTCTGAAGGTGAACTAAAAGTTGTTTTTGTCCCCAACAGACTCTGGGTGTTATGGTGCATTCAGGTGGTGTCGGACACGTCGGAAAAACAAGTTTCCGATGTGTAAAATGCAAATAAACACCGTCTTAAGTCGGAACAAAAACTGAAAAGATTTCGGTTCCCGACTTGAGGTCACAATCGTCTTCACCTGGGGGCAAAAATATGTTTTATTAATGTTAACATACTTTTTATTATTTCACGTATTGCACATATATAACTTTTAACAGACACTTTTAAAGATCTTCTTCCGTTTTAAAACACTAAATTCAAACGATGACAGAAACAGACCAGCAGATGAAGGCGTGGTATGAACGCACATTTGACCCATAATCCACCTGAAGGTCTGTCCGCCATGTTTCTGTGTTAATACGATGTTAATACCCTCCTCTGCAGCCTCTTCATCGGATCTTTTTGAAAACAGACGGGGATTAAAAAAAAATAAGTTTTATATGATTCTATATTGAAGAAAAGTATTTTTGGATGTGCAGTGAGTCGGTGGCCTTATGAACGTGTTGTGGCGAGATGGTTTGGTTAATAAAAAGGTGAAAAGTCGATTTGTTTGAGTCTTTCTTGATTTTTAATGTTTATTTTTAAAATCACTTTCAAACACAAGCGGTGACTTTACACGGGGGCGCCGCCAGGAACTCCAGACCCCGTGACAAGATCTCACATCGGGCCCCACCACCACAGATCTATCATCCGTTACCTTTAGCAGTTCGGGGTCGAGGTGTGTGGAGCCGATCCCAGCTGTCATTGGGTGAGAGGCGGGGTTACACCCTGGACTGTTCGCCAGCCAATCACAGGGCTGACATATAGAGACAGACAACCAAACACACTCACATTTTTAGGGTCCCTATCAGATGGGTCATTATTGCTGCCCCCCCCCCCCACACACACACACCATAGGCGCCCCTGGATGTACTACTTGCTGAAAAAGGAGGGGGGGGGGGCACTTCGGGTGGTCGATGTTAATACCCTCCTCTGTAAAACTTTCATATTATAGTAGTTGGCGGTAATGAACGACTTTGGATGCCAACCATAGTCTCTGCAAACCGCCAGTAAAAACCAACGAAGAGAAAAGGTCCCCCATAAAAATAAAAAGAATCTCGCTGTAGTTTGTCCCTCCGCTCTTTCCGTCCTTTCCGTCAAAACACGGAAGTGAGCAGTTTGACAGCAGAGCTCAGAGTCCAAACACTCCTCGCCGTGAAACCACGCAGGTGAACCCCCCCCCCTCAGGTGTTTCGGTGACACTATGCACAGATTGAAGATCATCTCGGGTCACTTGTCTCCCCGCGGCTCCGCTGAGCTCCGGCGGGATGTGTGGAGGTCTGAGTGCGGCTCGGCGGGCAGCAGCAGCCCGGACGACGTGGTGGTCGTGCACGGCCGGAGGACCGCGATCGGGAAGGCGAAGAGAGGAGCGTTTAAGGTGAGAGCGTGACCTCTGACCTCTCCGTGCACCTGACAGGTGTCATAAAGTTTATGAGCTGCAGATAACGGAAGATAAAAGCTGCACACACCGACATTCACTTTGATGTTACCATGGAGATAAAAAAAAGACACTCAGATTTATAAACCCACTTGGAATACTTTTGCAATAACAACATTTATTTCTGAGTTTTAAAGGTGACATATTTAAAATCCTCTTCTCCATGTTCCTCTAACTCTAACATGTGTCTCTAGTCCGTCTACAAACCCCCCAATCATGAGAAAAGTCCATCCTCTCCGTCTTCTGCCTGCTCCACTTTTCAGATAATGTGTGCTCAAACAGGCCGTTTGGAGATTTTCCCTTCATGACATCACAAAGTGATGACTCTGAGTCTGCCTTCTCAACGTAAACAATAGGACATGGAGCGAGAAAGACCAAGTACACCCAAGTCCTTCCAGAGAGGGGGCGTGGTCATACACAGTTCATTTACATATTTAAAGGTACAGACACAGAAACAGCCTGTTCTGAGCAGGGCTGAAATAGAGGGGTTTATAACAAGCAGCACCCTCCGGTGTGGAAAAATGAAGACGATGCTGAAGTGTAAAATCCTGCAGTTCCTGGAGTGTCCACTAGAGGCTGGCTGCAGAAACACAGGAAGTCACATACACACCCGTTCAAAAAAAGCCTTTTCACAATAAGTAGCTGACCTGATTGACAGGTGGGCAGGTTGTAGCGGTTTTATTTTGAAGGAAAAGTGAGCGATAAATCAAAGAAGTGCGCCTTCGTCGGTGAAGCAGACACTTTCGAGGAGGGTAAAATGTAACCCTGAGTTTTGCCTTCAGGACACGACGCCTGACGAGCTGCTGAGCGCCGTGATGTCAGCGGTGATGAGCGACGTGGGTCTGTCGCCCAACAAGCTGGGAGACGTTTGTGTGGGTGAGAGGAGACTTCTTTACATCTTTAAAACACCACGCTGTGTTTCTGTGTTCCTGTCGCTGGTCTTAATGATCTAGAAGTCCTGCTGTGTTTTTGTCTGCAGGTAATGTCCTGCAGCCCGGGGCGGGGGCTCTGATGGCCCGTGTGGCTCACTTCCTCAGGTCAGACTCAGTTGATTGATTGATTATTGGTTGATTCTTTCAGTCTGAGTGTTTCTCACCCGTCTCTCACCTGTCCAGCGGCTTCCCGGAGACAGTTCCGACGTACACGGTGAACAGACAGTGCTCGTCCGGCCTGCAGGCGCTCTTTAACATCGCAGGTACGCTCTGCCCCCCCATCACTTTTGAAACTCAAAGAATAAAAGTGTTTTTAACGTTTGTAACTCTGTGTTTCAGGAGCCATCCAG